CATAAACCAATAGATTCCATGATCTATAAATCAGGAACGATCATATTTTACATTGAAAGCATGTAACTAGAGAACATATTTCAAGAAACCATATTTCATAAACCCAAAAATCAGTGATTTCAAAAAATCACGTTTAAAACAGGTAAAACATTTTCTTGTCACATAAGGAAAATAATAAAGGATCCATATAATATTCTGAGATACTTGGTATTTATTAGGTAGAGAACCATGGAACTTTTTTAATTTAATAAAATTTCAGAATTAATACCCCTATAAAAGGGGGCTTGATAGCTAACTAGTTCATCATTCATTTAGGAAATGATTTATCAAGATCATAAGTATTTAGATATTTTTGTAGGCAATTAAGTATCAAAAATGCATTCAGAAACTTTTACATCAGAATTATTGAAGATTTAGACATAACATGAGTGTTCCCATTATTCAGGCAAATCAGAGGCGTTTTAGACATTTGAATCTTGGAGAATTCTTAGTAATTTAATCTAATAAGAGTAGAGAAATGATTTGTAGGACTTAATATTATATATTGAATTATCAGGATTTTGATTCCAATTGAACCAACGATCCAAACACTGCGATACTTGTCAATCATTTGAACCGCGATACTTCACTATTATTCACTTTTTATTATTGAGTGCACCAATTGATCTGATCAATATCAAAATCATCCTTGACCAGTTCTTGAGGAGACGAATAGGTATTTCGTTGGTATTTATTTCATTTCCATGTTATAATAGTATCCCAAAATGTTCAATGACTTGGGTCGTGCTCCTTGACCTTTAGAAGTAGTACATCATTTAGGTTCATCGATGTTCCCATAGTCTATTAAACGAAATTCAGTTAATCCTGCTCTTAAAGGTAATTAGGTCATCTCATTATTCGTGGTTATTTTAGTCATTTTGGGGTCTAGGCACATTAGTTATTTCAAAACTTGAGAATAATTCATCATTTCAATACTTCAGTGACATGTCGAACTTCAAATAATCTAATCTTTATATGATTATTCAAAAACAAAGAGATCATCGTATTAAGAATTTTCAAATGTAAAAGTTTATTTTTAGGTTTTTCAAATAGATTGGGAATTTAATCGGTGATTCCAAGGTTCAAGCGATTCAAAATTTGAGTTATTAGGTCAACTCCATATCATACCCACCCATAGTCATTTTTTACATTTTAAGCCTATAATCGTCATTCCAATCAATTATGTCAGTGACATTACTTCCAATAAATTAGGCTTCAAAGTATTCTAGTTTCTTTTGAGTTCCAGGTATTTTGTTCATTTGATCATTGCAGGTTATTTTAGTTATTTCGTAGCTCGAGAACATTTCGTTAATTCCTTTCAATCCAAACATATGTACTTTTTCTAATAATTGGTCAAGTATGTCCTTTCTGGGTTATTTTTCACCATCATTGAAGTCTTGGTCTTTTGCAGTACAAGGACATTTTTGTAATTTTACCCAATAGGGTTATTTTTGGTAATTTCTTATCCAAATATTTTTGGTATTTAACCTTTAAAGAAATTTATCAAAATTTACGGATGTTGAAGTCAATTCATTTATTAATGAATCACTGAACTTGTAATTATTTCTGATCGATCTTCCAGTTTCTTATGTGAGCCATCTTAGTATTATATAGTTAATGTCTTTTTACTGAAATTCTATTCGAGTCCAAAAATAATTAATTTTACCCAAATGACCAATCATTTAATCAATATAGTTACAAATTATCAATAAGTTTTGGAAAGCGTACAAAAGGTAGTAAAGTATTATCTCAGTTTTCAAGCTCCACCGATCGAACATTTAAACTCCATTCAATCACTCTCGAACTTGAATTTAGCATCCAATAGTTCCTCGAACACATAGCAATCGAATTTACGTCATAAACTGAGCTTAATTGAGAAACCAAATTGAATTCGAAGATAAAACAAGAAAAAATGGCTTACCGAGTGATAATTTGGAAAAATTTACTTTGGATTCAGACTTAGGACGTTAAGAAACATTAAATATAACTTTTTGGGTCAAAGTCGGTCGAGTTGACTCATAACGGGTTAACTCAGTCAGTTCAAATAGACCCGGTTCTACTGGACCTGTTCAGTCCAGCTGGGCTGGTTCCAGAAGCTTCCTGGATCAACAAACGAATCTCACGTGCACTCTCGTCGAGTGGCAGCGCATACGACGATGACAGGGATTGTTTCGATCGGTCGATTCTCCCCTGTGCAACTAATCACCAAAAAAAACCACAACTAATAAAAAATCAGCCAAATCTACGCTAAATCAACCGAAAAATGCTTGAATCTTACCCCCCAACAACAGTCGATGATGGTATAGTGATAGAGGAATCGCTCACCTGGGTTTTGTTCGCACATCACCGATGAAGCGGATGATGGTGATGGTGTGATGCAAAACTAGCAAAATCAATGGGAAAATGAAGAATTTGTGGCGGTTGTAAGGTTTCTTCGTAAATCGATCAAACGTCAATTAACAACGAACGATGTTGGTTCTTGACTTAAAATCTTGGGGGTTTTGGTCGCTGGACAGAGACGGGTCGGATGTGGGGAATAGTGTTTGTTACGAAAACCGATGCTGAAGAAAATTGTGAGGCAACAACGTGATTTCAGTTGGGGGTTAAGGATTTAAGGTTTGGGATTTTAGGGATCACAGGGGTTTCTGATATTTTTATTATTCAATGTCAATGAAAAATAGAAAAATTTAGGGTTAAGTCCCTAAACTTCCCAGAGTTTTCAAAACTAGGATGTAAGGTTCTAAAACTTTCAATTTAGTTACTAATTTCGTTAAATTTGTGGTGTTACACATATAGTCAAATTTTTACATGTTTTTAATTATATATATATATATATCAAATATCATTATACATGTCAAATACTTTTATATCGTACTTGTACACATATTAAAAATGATTTCATTGTCATGCAATCATTTCATCTACACATATACAAAGTATTCTTATTGAATTAGTCAAGAATTGCAAATTTTATATCTAAATATAGTTAGAAAATATCATAAGTTATTCACATCAACACACACGTTTAATCATACTTTAAACAATTTTAAGGATTATTCGCCAGTTCTTACATATCATATAATAAGCTTCTTTAATTTTGTCTCGTTTTATGTCTATGACAAGCGTCGTTTTACTATCAAATAAATTCCTTCTTCTCAAAATAAATAAGAAAGGGAAGAGCGTAGTAAACAGAAGTAAACATCGATCTACAGAGACTTAGAAAATTCCCAAATTTAAGTTTGAGTTGGCTATGATCCAGGCAAGCTGCAGTAAAATAAAATAAAATGGGGGCTTTGATAAAAAGAAGACTGAATAAGAAAAAGTAATTAAGAGTGAAAATAAAGAAGATTGAAAAAGTAAAATTGAAAATGTAAAATTGAAAATAACTATGGTAAAAAAAGCAGGCTAAAGCCTCGCTTTGACTCAATTTGTTTCGTTTCTGATAATCGAAAATGAATTTTCACTTTGGGATTCACATCAATTATAGTCTACAAGGCCCAACCCTTGTAACTTTCTTTTCACTTTGGTAACCGATTTTCCCAAGGTAATCTTTGGAAATCTAGTTTTTAATTGAATCAACTACGATAGTCGTCGTTAGCACAAAAACAGTTTTAGTTTAGGAAAAGCCAACTTGAATTATATTGTCTCGCAAAGAATCGAATCCGATCTCAGTTTCCCTTAGTGGACCGTCGCTAAGTGTGTTCACAAGAAGTCGGATATGCTACAAGTCGATCTTTCCTCCCAACTTTAAATCAAAACAACATCTAGACCAACGAGCTATTTTTGAAATGAAAGTGTTTTGATATTATTAGGTCAATTACCTAGCCAAGTTTCCAGAAAACTAAGAGTGACATCCTTAAGATGTTAAGTGCTCTTCAATTGTCATCGCTTAGTCTTTCGGCTTATGAGAAAATTAGCTAAGTATGACAGAAGTCATACTTAGGATATTAAAAAAAAAACTTGAAAATAAAAAAAGTGAAAACGAAAGAAGAATAACAAAACTTTTATAAAAACTGAAATCACCGAAAGTTACTGAATCTAATAACAAGTGTGTTTTGAGCCTTACCCCAAGGGTGTATTTATAGATTCTAAAATCCTAGAGATAAACATGGAAATTAAAATAAAAACAATTCTAAAGATAATTCCAAATGTTTTTTTTTTCAAATTTAAACTTGAAATTTTAAAAATAAATCTCCTAAGATATCTTTGTCTGACTACCTTCCAAAAGGTGCTGACTAGATCTTCTATAAAACTGTTGTTGATTGGACCTTCTAGAAACTATCACGTCAGGTCCTGTAATGCCCATAGTCGTGCCCATGTCTCCAGCCGTGACCAAATAAAAAAAATTGTAGAACACGCCCTTTTTAATGCTAATTCTGGAAAATAAGATCTTGCACGAAAATAAACACAATACAACAAAATCAGTAGTAATAAATCCACAATATCAAAGAATTATCAAGAAAATATTATGAAATTAGAACAATTATTAGTCTATTATTTTATGTAATTTGAACCACATACTCTTCCTCAACTACCATAGAGTACTTTTGTAAAAGTAAATGTCCTTTTGTAATTTAGTGCTTCAATTGTACTTTTTTCAGATTTATGCTTTAACTATACTTTTTGTGTAAATGCTTTTATTCAATTATATCTTTCGACGATAACTTTTTTATCAATTCTGAGATGAAGTCTAAGAATTCATCGTACTTTCATTAATCTATTTCTTTAAAATTCATTCTTTAAAAAATAACATTATAAATAATTATACATTTTTTATTTTCATAACATTATAAATAATTATTATAAATAATTACAAAACTTTGCTTGATGTGGGGGGAATTTAACAAGGAACACCCTTACAAAAAATTGGCTAAGAATAATGAGAGTGTAGTGAAAACCTCTCTATCTTTGTTTAGACTTTTTGCATTATTTTCTCTTTTGTTTTTCTTCTCCTCTTCTTTTTTCTTTCAAACTTGTTTTCTTTGTTGAACATTAGCAGTGGTAATCAGAGTTGTTTCTTAAGGATTGTGAGGTTCTATTACTATTTGTGAGTGATTAAAACACATCGAGAATTTGAGTTTTTTAAGTGTTTTCTAAAATGACTTCTTCAAATGCTCCTTAAACACATGTTCCTATTTTTACAGGAACTCATTACCATGTTTGGGCAGTTAAGATGAAAATCTATTTGAGATCTCTAAGCTTGTTGAGGGTTGTAAAAACTAATGAAGATCCATCGGCATTGAGACCAAATTCCACTCTTGCTCAACTCAAATCTTATGATGAAGAAATGTTGAAAAGGGATAAAGCTTGAAAAATGGATAATGCTTTAATGTGTATTCACTCCGGGCTAGCAGACCACATTTTCACCAGCATTATGGATCTTGAAACACCCAAGAGAGTTTGGGATAAACTCAAGGAAACTTATGAGGGAGGTGATAGAGTAAAGAAAACTAATCTCTTGACTCTAAAGAGATACTTTTCTATGCTATAAATGAAGGAGGATGAGTTAATCAAAGATTTTTCAATGAGGTTGATGGACATTATAAATCAAATCCGTCTTTATGGTGAAGACTTACAATATGAAAATGTGGCGGAGAAAGTCATTATTAGTGTTCCTTAGAGGTTCGAAGAAAAAATTTTAGCTATTGAGAAATCTTGTGACATGTCAAGATTGACCATTTCTAATAGTTTTAGCAAGTTAGAAGCACAAGAACAATGAGTTTATATTCGAACTCATAAGGCAAGTGAAGTTGCTTTTCTTGCTGCTCATAAAGGAGTAAATTTTAACAAATTCGGGAAGAAATCTGAAAGTTTGAAAAAGGGTAAGACTTTAGTTTCTCCTGATGGTCAGAATAGAAAGTTCACATCATGTCCTATTTGTAAGAAAACAAATCATGCTGAAAAGGATTGTTGGTTCAAGGATAAGGGAAAGACCAAATTTTAGTGTACCTTTTTGTGATAAGCTTAGCCACACTGAAAAATTTTGTTGGACTAAAAAGAAGTAAGCAAAGAAGCAATCTCAATAGCAAGCAAATGCCAGTGAAGAAAACCAAGAGCAGGGTGAGCAAATGTTCATGGTTTCTCATGTTGTTGTACCAGCTCACAATTCCATTTGTCTCTTGGATAGTGGGTGAACTAGACATATGACACATATGGAAGCATACTTCAATTCACTAGATCAGTCTTTCAAGACAAGTGTGAAGTTGGGAAATGGTGCTACGGTTCAAGTTCAAGGCAAGGGTTCGATTTGTGTCAATACTCCTCAAGGTAAAATAACTATTCATATTGTTCTTTTTATTCCTGATTTAGACCAAATCTAGTTGAGTTTCCTCAAATGATTAAAAATGGTTGTAGTGTTCAGTTTAAGGGTGATCTATGCAATATATTTGATGGTTATGGTTCTAAGTTTACTGAGCTGAAAATGAAGAATAATAGTTTCTATTTGAAGCATGATGTTATTTATGAACATGTTTACTTAGCAAATGATGAAGTTAGCCCTCTTTGGTATAAAATGATGGACCATTTTAATCTTAGAACCTTGAAGTACATGCAGTCGAATGACTTTGTAACTAACTTGCCTAAGCTAAATATTTATGATGATAAATGTGAAACTTGTTAACTTGGATAGTCACGTAGGTTTCCATTTTCTCATGATGATGTGCAGAGAGCAAGTATGAAATTAGAGTTAATTAACTCTGAATTGTGTGGTACAATGAAGACTACTTCTATGAATGGAAGCAAGTATTTTGTGTTGTTGATAGACGATTTGAAAAGATTATGTTGGTTTTATTTCTTGAAGTCTAAGTTGAATATATTCTCAATGTTAAAAGAATTCAAGAAATTTGTTAAAAATCAAAATGATTGTAGGTTGAAGGTCTTTAGAACGAACAATGGTGGAGAATATGTGTCCAAAGAGTTCAATGATTTTTGCAAAGACTCTGGGATTCATCATCAGCTCAATGTTTCTCACACTCCTCAACAGAATAGAGTTTTTGAAAGGAGGAATAGAATTTTTTTGAATATGTCAAGATGCATGTTGTTTGAAAAACATCTTCCCAAAACATTTTGGGCAGAACTGTCTCTACTTCTATGTATTTGTTAAATAGGTTAACAACCAAGGTCTAAACCATTTATGGAACACCTTAAAGTGTTTGGTTCAATCTGATTCAGTCATATACATTCTAATATGAGGTCCAAGTTAGATGAAAGGGCTTGGAAAGACATTTTCATTGGTCATTCTTATCAATTCAAGGGGATAGAGTCTTCAATCTGGAAAGCAAGAAAGTTGTTGTAACTAGAGATGTCACTTTTGATGAAGGTTCTTATTGGAATTGTGAGAAGAATGATGTGCAGAAACATGATCCACCAATGTTTGAAGAAGTTTTTACAACTGATGATATTGAGAATGATGAAAATAGTGATAGTTTTGATACAGCAAACACGACTAACGCTGAGGTTGTCAAAACCAAATCCTTAGCTAATATGGATGAAAGGTGCAATTTTATCTTTGCTGAACCAACAAGTTTTATTGAAGCTTCAAAGGTACCTGAATGGATTGATGCAATGAAGGCAAAAACTTCTGCAATTGAGAAAAATGGTACTTGGTTCTTGATTGATCGGCCTAACGACAATAATGTTATAGGTATGAAAGGGGTGTATAGGACCAAGTTCACTCTGGATGGCACTGTGTTCAAGCATAAGGCAAGGTTGGTTATAAAGGGGTATGCATAGATAGGTGGAGTTGACTATGGTGACACATTTGCACCATTTGCTAGGCTCGATACCATAAGATTACTCATTGCCATTCCAAGGGCAATTGGGTTGGAATGTGTTTCATTTTGATGTAAAGTCTGCATTCTTAAATGGAGAGCTTGAACAAGACATATATGTTAATTAACCTGAAGGTTTTATAGTTGCTGGAAAGGAGCATCAAGTGTACAAGCTCAAGAAAACTTTTTATAGCCTAAAACAAGCACCAAGGGTTTGGTATTATCGAATTGATTCTTATTTGCAGAAGTTGGGTTTTCAAAGGAGCATTAATAAAGCTACTCTGTATCTTAAGAAAGATGAGAATGTTGATTTTCTTGTTATTTCTCTTTATGTTGATGATTTGTTGGTGATGGGAAGCAATGACAAAGTTGTTTCAGAATTCAAGTTGAGTATGCAAGAGGAATTCGAGATGTCTAATCTCGGTTGGTATTTTCATTTCACAACAAAAATATGCCATAGATGTTCTAAGGAAATTTAAACTGGAATCTTGCAATGGGAGTTGATTCACCATTTCCTTTAAACTTTAAGTTGTCAAAGAACGATGGTGAGAAACTCGATGATCCTTTTATTTTCAAAAGCATAGTTGGAAGCTTACTTTATTTGACAGCAACAAGACCAGATTTAATGTTCCTTACAATGTTGTTATCTAGATTCCTGAGTTCACCAACTGATGTTCATTTGGGTGTTGCTAAGAGAGTTCTCAAGTATGTGAAAAGCACAATGTGTGAGGGGATGAATTATTTGAAGACTGGTAGTGTATTGTTGAATGAATACTCTGACACTGACTGAGTCAGAAGTTTGGATTATATGAAAAATACACATGGATATGTTTTCAACCTTAGCTCGGGTGCAATCTGCTGGAGTTCAAAGAAACAACAAGTTGTGACTTAATAAACTGCTGAAGCTGAATACATTGTTGTTGATGCATCAAATCAATCAATTTGTTTGCGGAATTTTCTTTCTGATCTTGGATTTAAGCAAGAAGATGATACTATTATTTTCTGTGACAACAAATCTGCTATTACTATTGCTAAAAATCCAGTTCAACATGGCAGAACAAAGCATATCGATGTGAAGTTCCATGCAATTCATGAAGCTGATAAAATTTGCATATCAAGATGAAATTTTGTTCTTTTGAAATGTAGATTGTTGATTTGATGACGAAGGTTCTTTCAATGAATAGAATTTCTTTTCTCAAACATGAGCTTGGTATGACCAATATCAACCTCAAGGTGGAGTGTTGATGTATTTGAGTTTGATAATGGAAATCAGATATTAGGTTGCAACCCAAAACCTTAAGCTGGAAATCAGATATTAGGTTGCAATTAGAAATGAGAGGTTAGGTTGCAATTGAGAATTCAGGTTGCAACAGGTTTTGTCTTGTATGTCAGTTGTAATGATGTCTATTAGTTGTTTTTGAGTCTGTTTTAAGTTAAGTGTGTCTTTTACACTTATGTTTGACAGCTCTACATTTAAAATTATTGTGGTTTGTAATCCTATTAAATGAAATTGTTAGAATGATGAGAGTGTAGTGAAAACCTCTCTATCTTTGTTTAGACCTTTTGCATTCTTTTCTCTTTTGTTTTTCTGCTCCTTCACTCCTTTTTGCTTTCAAGCTTGTTTTCTTGGTTTAACATTAACATCTTAAGGCAAGGGAAAGTAGAATAAAAACAGTAAGAATATGAATGGTGATTAGATCACATAAACATTTAACTAGAAATTGAAACGGACCACGTGAACGGATCCCCTCTGCAACAAATTATGATCTACGCCAAGAGCCTTGTTTCCACAGGTTTAGCAACACCTCAAGCAGTTCACTTTGGTATGAATTGGCATATACGGAAGCTAAGGGTAAGATTAGGAAAGGGGACAAAACATGAGAAACAACACTCAGTTCTGAATTCAAATGTAACAGTGCTGTGGGGAAAGCTTTTAGGTTTGTAAATCCAACAAAGGAAAAAAATCCTATGGATGAATGAGATCCATAATTTCTCAGTTGATGTTCCAAGGATATCAACCATCTAAATTTCAGATTGTGTTGATGTCGAAACATGAGCCATATTTTTTTCTAAAAGAGATCACTGCATATGTGAGGCTTAGGATATGTTTCAAGACTTCATCATTGATTAAAAGATTGAATTGGAATTTGAATGAGAAATAAATCAAATTTATTTGAACTGTAATTCAATTTATTTATGTTATAACAATAAAAAAGACAACAATCGTGATATCTTTTATTTTCGGGTTGTGATTTCTCTATTTAGGAAAAGTTTTCCTACAGGTGAGAAATAACAAGTCTAGTCTATGGAAATGCTTTGATTAAAAACTGTGATATAAGTTAGTTCCAAATTGGCAGGCAAGAATGGACTGTAGAACAAGCGATTTGATAATAAAAATCATGAGATAAAATATAATATTACACTGCATCAATTACTCTATGTGAAATACATCTTCTTCCACAGTCAACAATTTAATAATTGGTAAACTTGGTTATTAAACAATGATAACTTTTAATTAGAAATGAGGAAGGGGTCGCGCGAACGCAGGCCCCCACTGCCATAAATAAAGACGTAGGCTCTCCCACTTGAGGAGACCTTAAGCAAGTGCACCTTCCAAGTGCAATGAAAGCCACCAGCCTAGGCCATGAGTCTTATTGATCACCCATCGACCCCGTCCAGGTAAGTATATTTCAAGGTTCTCCTATGCTTATTCTTTATACATCTAGCTAACCTCTCCTCTACTTTCTTCTCGATGTGGGTTTCGAGCTCTCAAAGTTGTGCATACTAAATATGTTTTATTATTATACAGCTGCACCCAAGTTTTAGTATTGCCATGTTCATCAGTAATTTGTCTAATAAAACTGAACTTATTGCTCAAGTTTAATAGTGAATGTTTTATTTTGTTTTATTGAAATTTTGAATTTATTGATTTCAAAGATATAGATGCGTCTTTATCATGAATATTTGGGCTCCACTAATTTGCAGTTCCTCGTGGTGTGATATATGGCTGTGGTGACATACATACGAGGAACTTATAATTGATAGATTTCTGGTGGTATTGTTTGTGTAATTGCAGCTGTGTAAAGGCAGTTTGCTTGGTTGGTACCTATTGTCTGTAATATATTTCAACAGAATTGCCCAACAGAAGCAGTGGAAATTTACCTATGTTGCAACCGTTGAGTACCAAAGACAAGGATAGTAAAACCAAATCAAAAACTCTTGATTGGAAATTTTGTGGACCCTGAAGATTGGATATAGTGATTTCATTTGTTGACTATTTGAATACCTTCATTTCATATGGAATTTATGTTGGAAGCATAAGTGGACACTATAAATAATCTCTCTTTCTCTCGATTTTTACTCATACATACATGCATTTTAACTTTAATCATTTGAGCCTTTATATAGGCATTAATAACAGCCTCTTTTTCTTCAATTGTCTTAATTCTCAATCAGCAGAAACAGTCTTTTATCGCATTCTTTCTGCCTTTCTTACATCTATTTCTTCAAAATGCATACATTATGAATATACTAGGCAAGTTTCAATATAGTAAATATTGGCAAGTAACAAAAGCATGGATTTATATTTGAAAATAAAAGCATGATATTATTGAATTTATAAATTCCTTAGACATTTCAAATCCACGCATTCGACTAATCCATAGAGTTGAGAAATAAATATGAACACTACATTTCTATTGCTATGCGTGCTATCACTCAATTTACATTTGAAATCCAATAACCACAAGGCGAAAAAACTGTGGAAATTTGCAGAACGGTATCAACCTAATATCTATATCCTATGACTAAAGACTAACAGCAATGACTTACACCACCAAAGCTGCTGATAAGGATCATTAACAGCAGGAGAAGAAGGCACGACTAACTCATAATAATTAGGAAACTTGGATTGATGTGGGGGTATTCAACAAGGAACACCCTTCCAAAAATTGGCGTATGCCGCTTTTAGTGGAGAGCACACGGTATTCTTTAGTAAAAGACGAAAGAATAGTTCGCTTTTACTCACCACACGGCTCCGTGAGTTTAAATGCTTGCTACATTTTTCTTTATAAACACGAGGAGTACCTGCAAACTTGATTTCCCAGTGCGATGCGGGACTTGTGAACAGAATCAGTCACGTGTCCAATATTACCAGTTTATATCATGGTATTTTTTGTGACTCGTGATATTAAATTCTCCTCTCTTTGTGATTTCTATTCAAAGTGAAGGAAAGAGATAAGAACCTAGCTTCAAATGAAATTTCCTGCATACTAGGAGGGGGAATTAGCAATAACCATTACTTTTACTTCAAAACTGAAATCAATTTCAATATGGTTGGGGTGGATATAATGTCTTAGGTTAGCTTTGATTCTAACAAAATAACCGAGGACACAGGATTAACATAGTTTGCTATAAGTGGCATTAGTTTTGGACTTCTGCTCCAAACAAACATACAAAGATAACGTATTTTGTGATTTGGATGAACGATGCAAGCATTTTCCACTGCTTACAACTCAACCGCGGGAAATGCTCCAATCTCTGCCTATCCTAATAAAATCCCAAGTCTTTCAATCGGGAAGAGTACCCATCACTGCTAAACCCCTTCAAAACTCGTATCAATACATGTTTGAATGACAAATCCAAATTTATCAGAATCAACGGATATTGCTATTACCACATTGGTTGATCTTCTGTTTCGATAAATTTCAACTCCACAGCCAACAACAATTAACACTAGGTAAGCTTCATTATTAGACGAAAGATACTTTTAACTAGAAATGAAGAAGGGGGGCCGTGCGAACGCAGGCCCCCACTGCCAGAAATAATGTCGTAGCCTCTCCCAATTGAGCAGACCTTAGGCAGGTGCACCTTCCAAGTGCAAAGAAAACCACTAGCATAGGCCATGGATCTAATTGATCACCCATCGACCCCGTCCAGGTAAGAATGTTTCAAAGGTCTCCCATACTTATTCTTTATACGTCTATCTAACCTCTCCTCTTTACTGTCTTTCTCGATGTGGGTTTCGAGCTCTCAAACTTGTGCGTGCTTCATATTTTTTATTATTATACATGTGCACCCAAGTTCTAGGATTAGCATTTTCATCAGTAATTAGTCTAATAAAAAAGAACTTACTGCTCAAGTTGAATGGTGAATGTTGATAAGTTTTGCAATTTTAAGCATTTACTCACAATTGTTTCTTTTCTTTATTTATTTTTGCTGCAGGCTCTCCGAATTATCACATTTTATTCTACTCAACTTGCGGGATCAAATTATCATTACCCAGAAGTATAGTATTGTAATTATACGTGAGATTGCCTTTAATTTTATGTTTACATTTTGAATTTTAAGATCATTTGGTAAATAATTGTGTTTCTTTTAAGACCAGGGTGAGCATTTGTTTATGGTTTTTCATGTTGAATCATCTCATAACTCTACTTAGGTCGTGGATAGTGGTTTTACCAGTCACATGAAACTCGTGGCTGCATACTTTAACTCCCTTTATAAGACTTTTAAGATAAATGTGAAGTTAGGAAATGGTGTCACAGTTCAAGTTCAAGGCAAAGACTCAATTTCCGTGAATATTATACAAGGTAAAAGAACAATCTACAATGTTCTTTTTATTCTTGATTTAGATCAAAATCTTCCAAGTATTCCTCAAATGATTAAAAATGGTTTGTGTTCAGTTTAAGGGTGATTTCTACAACATATTTGATGTTTGTGGTTCTAAGTTCGTTCAGCTGAAAATGAAAAATAATAGATTTTAATTGAAGCTTGAAGTTGATTGTGAACATGTGTACTTGGAAAAAGATGATCTCAATCCTATTTGGTATACAAAGATAGGTCATTTTAATCTTAGAACTTCAAAGTATATACAACCAAATGGTTTTGTAACATATTTTTCTGTGCTTAATATTTGTGATGATAAATGTGATAGTGGTCAATTTGAAAAGTCTTATAGACTGTGATTTTCTCAATGATTGTGTGAATAGAGCAAATATGAAATTAGTGTTAGTTCACTCTAATTTGTGTAGTCCAATAAAGACTTCTTCTGTGAATGACATCAAGTATTGTATGTTTTTCATAGGTGATATAACAAGGATGTGTTGAGTATATTTCTTGAATCTAACCTGAATGTATTGTCAACTTTCAAAGAATTCAAGAAATCTATTGAAAATCAAAGTGATTGTAGGTTGAATGTTTTAAGAACGAAAAAATGGTGGAGAGTATGTGTTCAAGAAGTTCAATGCTTTTTGTAGAGAGGTTGGGATTCATATCAGCTAACTATTCCTTACATTCCTCAATAGAACAGGGTTTGCAAAACGAAGAATAGAATTGTTCTGGATATGTCAAGATGTATGTTGTTTAAAGAACATCTTCTAAAATCATTTCGGGTAGAAGCTGTCGCTACGCCTATGTATTTTTTTGAACAGGTTAGTAACTAAGGATGTGGATGAAAAAACTCCTCTTGAAGCCTGGTCTAGGTTTAAGCTGTCTTGGAAACACCTTAAAGTGTTCAGTTCACTCTGTTTCGGTCATATACATGCTAATATGAGACCCAAGTAAGATGGAAGGACTTGGAAAGGAATTTTTATTGGTTATTCTTCTCAATCCAAGGGGTATAAAGTCTTTAATTTGTAAAGCAAGAAGATTGTGGTGAGTAAAGATTTCACTTTTGATGAAGGTTCTTAATGGAATTGTAGAAGAATAATGTACAGAAGCATGATAGTATATCAATGGCTGACGAGGTTGTTATAACTGATGATATTGAGAATAATGTAACTAGTGATAGTTCTATACAACAGATAAAAATGATGTTTAGGCTATCAAAACTAAATCCTTAGTAGATGTGTAGATGTACAATTTTATCTTTGTTGAACCAACAAGTCTTATTGGAGTTGCAAAGGTACCTGAATGGATTTATGCAATGAAGGTAAAAATTTCTGCAATTGAGAAAATGGTACATGGTTCTTAACAGATCAACCTGACGACAAGAATGTTATAGGTGTTAAGTTGGTTTATAGGACCAAGTTCAATTTCGTTGGCTCTGTATTCAAGAACAAGGCTAGGTTGGTTGTAAAGGGGTTTGCACAGATAGGTGGAGTTTACTAATATGACACATTTGTACTTGTTTCTAGACTCGATATCATGTGATTACTCATTGTTATTGCATGTCAATTGAGCTGGAATTTGTTCCATCTAGATGTAAAATTTGTCGTTCTGAAGGGAAAGCTTGAAAAATATTTTTTTATGTTTTTCAACCTGAAGGTTACATGGTTGCCGAAAAGGAACATCAAGTGTACAAACATAAGAAGACTCTTTATGACTTAAAACGAGCACCAAGGGCCTGGTATTATCGAATTAATACTTATTTGCAATTATTGAGTTTTTAAAGAAGCGTTAAAGAAGCTACTTTGTATCTTAAGAAAGATAAGAATGATGATTTACTTGTTGTTTCTCTTTATGTCGATGATTTATTGGTAATGGGAAGCAATGAAAAAGCTATTTTAGAATTTAAATTGAGTATGCAAAAAGAATTAGAGATGTTTAATCTTGGCTTATTGAGCTACTCTCTTAGGATGGAAATGAATCAAAGCAAGGTTGATATCTTCATTTCACAACAGAAATATGTCTTAGATGTTCTAAGAAAATTTAAGTTGGAATGTGATGCAGGGGGATCCGAGACAGA